ATGGGGTGGCGTTGCTGTGGGGTAACACCGGCTGCCCCCATTGCCGGGTTATGGGGTGGCGTTGCTGTGGGGTAACACCAGGTGACCCCATTGCCGGGTTATGGGGTGGCGTTGCTGTGGGGTAACACCGGCTGCCCCCATTGCCGGGTTATGGGGTGGCGTTGCTGACCCCGCTGCCGCCCGCGCCGCTCAGGAGCGCCTGGCGCTGACGCCCACCTTCAAGCAGCGGAAGGCGCTGCTGGCCCAGGAGGGCTGCGATCCGTCCCGCGTCGCCGCCCCGCTGCTGCTGCTCGACCTGCCGGCGGCCGCCTACGTCCCCATGGGCCCCGCGCTGTGGGACGGCGTCGTGGCGGGGCGCATCCGGCTGTAGGGCCGCCTCCCGGCTCCCGGCTCCCCGCGGCCGTCTGTCCTGCGGCCCCTGCGTCCGTCCTGAGCAGTCCGTGGCCGTCCAATGTCCCACATCCACCCCGATGTCCCACGTCCGTCCCCATGTCTGTCCTGCAGTGTCCCCACATCCGTCCCAATGTCCCACGTCCGTCCCCATGTCCCACATCCATCCCGATGTCCCCATGTCAGTCCTGCAGTGTCCCCACATCCATCCTAATGTCCTCATATCCATCCCAATGTCCCCATGTCTGTCCTGCAGTGTCCCCACATCCATCCCGATGTCCCACATCCATCCCCCTGTCCCCATATCCATCCTAATGTCCCTATATTCACCCCAGTGTCCCACATCCACCCCACTGTTCCCATATCCATCCTAATGTCCCCATGTCTGTCCTGTAGTGTCCCCACACCCATCTCAATGTCCCACATCCACCCCAATGTCCCCATGTCTGTCCTGCAGTGTCCCCATATCTGTCCCGACATCCCACATCCATCCCAGTGTCCCCATATCCATCCTAATGTCCCTATATCCATCCCAGTATCCATGCACCCACCCCCAGTGTCCCCACATCTGTCCCAATGTCCCCGTATCCACCCTGATGTCCCCACATCCACCCCACTGTCCCCACATCCATCCTAATGTCCCCATACCCACCCCAATGTCCACCCACCCACCCCAGTGTCCCTATATCCGTCCCACTGTCCCTATAGCCGTGTCCCCACATCTGTCCCAGTGTCCCCATGTCCACCCCAATGTCCCATATCCATCCCATTGTCCCTATATCCATCCCAAAGTCCCCACATCCATCTCAGTGTCTCCACGTCCACCCCAATATCCCTATATCCAAGTGTCCCCATACCCACCCCAATGTCCCATATCCATCCCATTGTTCCTATACCCACCCCAATGTCCCCACATCCACCCCACTGTCCCTATATTCACCCCATTGCCCCCATCCCCACCCCGATGCCCCCCCCGTACTGCAGTGCCTTCCCCCCCCCGGGGGCTCTTTGTACCTAAAACTCTTTTTTTGCTAAATAAAGACTTTTTTTTTGTA